GAGAGAGAGAGAGAGAGAGAGAGAGAGAGAGAGAGAGAGAGAGAGAGAGAGAGAGAGAGAGAGAGAGAGAGAGAGAGAGATGTCTTTTCTTGGCAAACATTCCTTCTTTATTGCGGGCGTAGCTGCAACAGGTCCCCTAGTCAAGGATGGCTTTCACAAGCTGAGAACAATGGCTGTTTCCTTGTTCAAAGTGCGGGCTGAATTTTGTTAGAAACTTGGACAAAGAGAGGTTTAGGACGGGAAGCAATCTCTGAGAAATAACCAGAGCATTTCTCACAACCTATTGACAGTCCGCACATTATCCCTGAAATGAAAGTGCTCCTGCTCGCATTGCCTATTATGGTCCGTATATTGTCGCTGAAATCAAAGTACTCCATATGCAGCAGGTTGCTGAGTTGTCCTGAGATACATAATGGGTTTTTCCCCTCTGAACCTGAGTCCTCCATTATGATGAGGTTGTGGAGAATGGATGATCGTGTTTCACCAAAGAAAGATATCAGGAAGTTTTGGCAGGTGCTGCTTATCACAAATCTCAGGAAAACCTCCCAACATCACAGCTGGGCGAGGTCCCACTGACATAGATTTCTCATTTGTGCCTGTTGATCTTGGTATTGGATGATAAGCTATGCCGAATCTGGGGAAGTGGGACTTTGCCCTTGTTATGCTGTCACAGTATCACTATTGTGAGTTGTAGTTTTTCAGAACATGGTCCGCTGGTATGTATCTCTCTACTTAGTCTATACGACAAGCGAATTGGTGAGAAAATAGATAAAGGTTCTTCGCTAGAGTCCAATAATACTTTTTGGGCAACTCCACCAGGCTGTATGTCCTGCATTTTGTTACGATCCTGCCACCCTGGCCAAGTGCAAAGTGCAAATTCACGAGAAAGTACAATGCCGTCCAATTGCAAAAGAATGAATGAACTTGAGAAGAAAGAGAGGGAAAGAAGAAGAAGAAGAAGAAGAAGAAGAAGAAGAAGAAGACGAAGAAGAAGAATGTACACCAGCGAAAAACCAATGATAATTCCCCCTTCTCCTCGCCAACCAACTCCTCATGTCCTCCTCTCT